CAACAAATTCAGGAGATATGCAGATTTCACGGTAAGATATCTCCCTTCACCACAGCCTGATTTTATATTTTTAGATAACATTTTAGAGCTAATTCGCAAAAATAGGCCACAAAACTTACGGCTCAACACAATTCAGAATAATGTGTTTCGACTCAACACTGCCATTGATTTTCAAATTTATTGCACCAGACGCCAGTTGCTTTCAAAGGTAGACGTCAAATTTGTCCCGATCATTCACCACTTTTAAAAAAATATGTCTCATGATCCTACCGATAACACATATTTTTTGCCCTCTTGCATATTTTAACGAAATTAAGGTTGAAAAAATAAGATCAAATCACAAACTGTTAATACTTATTTTGTAAATATTGATGAAACACCGGAATTTCGCCTGTTTCGAAAACAATGTATGGAGGTAAAGAAAGAAAAACAATTTTTCGATGCGATCTCGTTTAAATTGAAACGTTTAAGTAACTTTCTACCGCTTCAGTTTAGATGCGGGTGATTTCTGAACTCGTTCTTCCTCAAATGGGTTTCAAATTGTCTAACCTAAGTTTAGATATGTACACAACAACACGAATAATCACACTTCTGGTGACAAATTCTTTTATGACCACTCATATCTTGATTTTCTACCTTCAAAGCCTTGGACATTTTCTCACCCGCACTTTTCAAGTATTCCCTCTATTCAATAGATCTTTTTCCCTTGAAATGTCACGTTTCTTGAGCTTTTTCAACAATATGACTGTTCAGAAGAAAGGCTTTTTACTCTTAGTGGTCTTTTTCACCGTCATTTCAGTGTCTTGTCATCATTTGTTCTGCTGATTTTCGACCACCTGAGATCCTATTTGTTTACCAAATTAAGGGAATCAATCGAATATTGTCCAAAACCCGTAATGCCTCAGTGTCCTCGCTAATCAAAACTTGTATATCATATCGGTCGATTGATTTATCTTCTCTCTTCATTTGCCACAAAAGCAGAAAAAGTCTTTTAAAAAGTTGGTCATCATCTCCACTTGATGAGACCAAATGGCGCGGCATGGCGTGATCAGAGACAAGGTATCAACGTGTACAGTTCTAAAGTAGTTACTAAAAATTTTCCACCAGCCATCAACACTCAAACAAATCTCAAATCAGGTAAGTGCACAGCACGATCGAGGTTGATTTGAAATTACGGGTAGAATATCGAATAAAATGTCTAAATTTCTCAGACATGTTTTGCGCAAGATTTGATGTTAAACAGATCGAATTTCTATTTAAGCAACGTTCAAAGAGGATCTCTATGAGCTAAACCACTAAACTAAAAAGGGGCTTAAATTCAACATCAGCTGCCGAAAAAAGCGGCTAGTAGTAGCGATAGTCAGCGTTTTCAAGGTCTTTCAGAATTCACCAATTAAGCTGCCCCTCACAGGAGGCTCTCGATCTTGAAATATCTTTAAAATTGCAAACAAGTTTTCAAATATCAATATTCTTTTTACAGTCATTTCTCCCAGTTTTCGCAGTAACTGAGAGTTTGAAAATATGCCTCACCTCATTGATTACCTGTTTCTGAGCACACCACCCAAAACCGACTGACAGAAAGAAAATTTGGAGATAAGCACATCTAGTGATATCAATATCTAAAAATAGAATTCATTACCTTGCCGAGAACTGAAGCCAAAAATTGAGTTAATTTCTTTCGATAGCCAAAGTGACGAAATTCTCGATTTCAGGCGTTATTTGTGCTAAATGTGTCTTGCCTTGGAGAAATATTTCTGACCTTTCTGCGAGCGGAAAGTTTGTGTTACAGTCAGTTATTTTTCATAAAATTTGAGTTGCAAATTCGACTTGAGGAGGCTCCATAGTGTTTTTTACCACGCGACATCTGAGTGCGAACATACCGCGAGCTTTACAAGTGTCAACATGTAATACAAACATGGCGGCTCCATACGATCGCATGATTGTTATCTGAAAAGCTGTGTTAAAGCAGTTTAGAACAACACAGTTTTAATGTCATGGAATCAAGGATTTCCAGCAACTGCACCCGTAATATTCATAGGCCTTCTACGGTTGAAAAAGAGGTCAACCGAAACGAAAACACTGAAGGAAAGATTGCCAAAAGGCGACAGCTTCGAAAGTTTACGCATGCTCAGATATAGATCTTAGCGAACTTCTATTCCATTATGTAATGTTTTTCGACAAAGAGAATAAGGATCTTTAGAGCAAGATTTATTGCGTTTTCTCTGGTGGAATATCTTAAGATTTGTTTGATTGTTGAACATATTTCTGTCCTTCCTTCTGCCTGTTTTCAAAAAATTCATAAAACCAAATTTGAGATAGGGGAGAAAACACAAAATTGTAAATAGCGAGGAAACTGC